CAGTTCTGGTACGTATATTTATCTTTCTTTCTAAATCGATATCGATAGGTGGACACAGAATCAGGCATATGATCTAGGATATATGTTTGGAACCAAATAACAATCAAAATTCTCAAAAACTTGTTTCAGAAGTTCCCCCCCCCACCTTCTCTCCCTCTCACCATGAAGGAACCAGGAAGGAGATTAATTGTTTGGAACTAAATTTGTTTCTTAGTTTAGAAGTCTGGGTTGTTGATGTGCGGGCCAGTCTTTATCTTAGATTGAGCATGAAAAGTGTATGAGCAAATGATGAATTTAGTGATTATTCGGAAATTTAAGCCTTTTTTATTTACAATGAAAGGATATAGAAACTCATTGCTTCCGTGTATTTTACTAGTATACCCATCTTTTGCTGCAAGGAATTCCACGGTTACATTACAATTAGACAGCAATTGGTCGTCTCCATCACTCTTCCTGTGGCACTCGGTTTCTGGACGCAGTCTTGTTAATGTGAATTTAATACCCACCCGATCTTGTTATCAATATCGTCTGCCCACGTCTCTAATTCTCCTTTTACTAGTGACATCTCCCTACAATTATTGATATTAATTACGCGCAGCATTGGCAATCATCGACCTAATCCAATCAACAAATACAAATAAAAGTCATTAAGAGGGGCACTTATAAACGTTCATCAATAGGTGATATTTGGTGACTAGTTTCTTACTAATAACTGCCAGTAAAACATAGTGTAATTTTACACTTCAACTCACTGACAACTAAATTATTACACGTGGATTTCCTGCAATCGGGTTCCGTCGTATGATTTATAATGGAGCGACATGGTCGATGGTGAACATAATGTCTTATTTTATTTGCCCGTCTCTCAGTATTACCGTGTGACTGGGTTAGTTCCTTCAAACATTCATATATTTTAGCACCCCAGGAACGCATGCGTATTAGTTATAAAGATAAATAGGGGGGGGGGGGGCGAATGGTTAGCACGAGTGCGCTGTATCATAAGGTCTGCCATTGAGTCAACTGTTGTGGTTTCAATTCCCCGGTTGTACGTGGCAAGGAGTAGGGTCGCCTGTCCAACCTCGTGGGTTTTCTCCAGGGTCCTCCGGTTTCCTCCCACTGCTAAAGACCCCTACGCGCAAGCGAATTGTTGAAATAAAACTGAACAATGTGTTAGTCCCGAAATGACCTAGTTTGTGTCGAGTGGACGTTACCCCTCTCTCTCTCTCTCTCTTCTCTCTAAAGATAAATAAATGTGTCTGTTGGAATTGTAAATCGACATCTTAATACTTATACTAAACCTGTGGTATATATTGTTTAGAATCAATGAATTCCATTGTAATAGGCGAGGCCTGGTCAAGTACATATTTCCATTTATCGCAAAATCCCAAGAGTTAAATGAAGAGTCTGTAAATAGTAGTACTAAATTCGCAAACAAAACAAAGATAGCGATAGGTCAAGTACCCACATTTAGCGGGGAGAGAGAGAGGGGGGTGGTAACGTCCACTTCACACAAACTAGGTCATTTCGGGACGAACACATGGTTCAATTTTATTTCAATAATTCGCTTCCGCGTAGGGGTCGTTAGCAGTTTGAGCAAACCGGAGGACCCGAAGAAAACCCACAAGGTTGTTACGTACAACCGGGGAATCGAAACCACGCCAGTTGACTCAATGGCAGACCTTGTGTTACAGCGGGCACGTGCTAACCACTCGACCATCCACCCACCTCCACCCCCGCCTTGAAATGCCTAAAGGAACCAGAACAATTACTAGACGGTCAGCATAAAGGAAACTTTCATTCTGGAATAACTGAGACATTGTGACTTCAAATATTGAGGATTGGTTTCTTTTTTTAAGAATAAGGAAAATCCAACATCTGTGTCTCCATCTGCACAATTAGGAATTAAAACATTTGCAAAATAACCTTGAAATTACTCCCTCTACAGTTAATGCCTCCCACAAATTATTAACAACTCTCTATACATACCGGTCGCTTCACCCTTGCACTTGTTTGGAAGGCATAAGGAAAAACAACTTCTTGGCATATCAATTGGACTAGTCAGAAGATTCATACTCTGATCATAGTAGCTCGGCAAGGCAGGGTCGCTACTCCATGTAAGGTTTGCACAACAACCTTTGCCTACCTCAATCAGCTACTGTATGTTAAACAATAAGCTTATACATCAGAAAATATAATACTATAATGTTTGTACAAAGTTTCAAAAAGATTTCTTGAACGGATAATAAAATATGGTCTGGAAACTAAATCGGGACAGTCATCAGAAAATAAAATGAGAAGTTAATGAATGTAGAATTGTTATAAAAGGTGTCTTGAACAGTTTGAGATATATGCTCTAGAATAATAGTTATATGCTCTAGAATAATAATTATATATCAAAAACTGAGTCAAATGTGTAGTGATTACTCAAAAATCATTCAACAGAGAAATTTGTTTCCATGGAAACACATTTTTTTTTTAAATTCCGAGAAAATTTTAATTTACAAAAAGCACAAGTTTCATGAAGATATCTTGAACAGTTTATGAGATATGTCCGGGAAACATATTGTACACCAAAAACTAAGTCAAATTTGTTTCCATGGACACACAAAAAATATAAATCCAAGAAATTCCAAATTAGCAAAAGGCACAGCTACTATAATAGGTTAATGTTTGTACATAGTTTCATGAATATATCTTTAAGAATGGTTTATGTGATGCACCGGAAACAAAATTATAGACCAAAAACTAAGTCAAATTTGTTTCCATGGAAACACAAAACTTATTAAATCCAAAATAGCAAAAGGCACAACTACTATAATAGTACAAAGTTTGTACAAAGTTTCATGAAAATATCTTGAACAGTTTATGATAAATGCTCTGGAAACAAAATTGTACACAAAAAACTAACTTAAATTTATTTCCATGGAAACACAAAAATATAAATCACAGAAGTTCCTAAATAGCGAAAGGCACAACTACTTTAACAGGTTGATGTGTGTACAACGTTTCAAAAAGATATCTTGAACGGTTTATAAGATATGCTACGGAAACGAAATCGGCCCGGGATAATAAACTTCGTTCGGCGCGGGATAATAAATATCAAAGATCAGATTCGGTAATTTAGGACCAAATTCTGAGTATAACTATATATCATCAGCCAATACAGATTTTACCGAATCCAACTGGAGATCGAAAGATTTCAATTTTCAAAATTGAATCTTCCCACAAAACATGAAAAACTATATTAGTAAAGAACACCTACGCCAGCAGCATCCCTCGAATCTGTATAATTCATGGAAACGAAACCAACTTAGAGACTTTTAACCTTCTTTGACCACAATTATACGTCTTAACAATGTACATGTACAGTAAATGAGAACTAATGGAATTCCGTACCCTTTCTATTAAAGATACACGTTCATAAATGCTTTGTGCGTAAATTGAAAAATTGAACCATTTGCAAACTTCATAACAACTATTGAACCCGCAATTTTCTCAGCAGCAAGTATACTATTAAAAGTAAACCCTGCTGCATTAAATCTACAGTTATACAATTTCATCACACATCCAAATAAACTATCACTTTATAATCCTTTGCCCTCCAATTAATATAACAGGGGCCTATTTAAAACTAGTAAAATCATATTATCTATTGTTATTCGTACCGAAATTCCATCTAAACCCCGAGGAATTTGCGGAAATCAGAGTGGATATTATCATAATGATGAAGCCATGAAACCCAAACGTTAAATCAGATTTAGTCATTCGTTCAACATAGTCTAAGCCTTGTACTGCATCTTCAACTTTAATTTTCGTATTCAGAATGTATATATTTTCTTTCCGGTTGTTTAAAATTGGGCGTCCTTTACAGACAAGGTGGTAAGGGGGACATGGCACCCCAAGAGGAATTTTGTGAGAACAAATAAACATGGTCAATGTTGAAATTGTTATACAGGCTATTGAGCTATTTCCTTCTTTCAACGACGAAAGTCTCGGAACGGCTACATCTTTAGAGTGAGACTGGTTATCAGAACAAAACCTGTTATACAGCTTGGGACGTAGATATATATGCACATGATCGAACGGCACACTTTTAAAGATAAGATTCTTTCATATTAAGTTATTTAAATATTTTCTTAATGATGATTTGCAATTTAATATTGTAATACTAATGGTCCAGCTATTCTGTGATTATGGTAAATGTTAAATTTGTGACCGTCGTTTCATTCAGTATTAAATGTATGTGGTTATAAATCGTTTAATGTATGAATTATAAGAGATGTGTGTTTAGTATTATTTTCAGAACACTATTCTTGTACCTAGAATTTTCTCTTAAGCCGTTCGTAATTGGTTGTAAATTGGGTGTCAATTTTGTTTGATAAACACACGCACATTTAACAAAAATGAGCATTTCGTTTTACGATAGTAATGGTTGATCGTGAGATAGTAAAACAGACCACGGTCAAACGAATTATGTAATGCTTTTGCAGAAACGAGGTATATGTCTTCTTTTGTTCATAAGTAGAAGTCATCCCGAAAGAAATTTTCTGTGGACATGTTAGAATTGTGTCTTTTGACTCATTGATAATTCACAAGTATAAAGCATACTGTCGTTCTTTCCTGTTGACGGACTGTAAAAAGCTCAACTCGAAACCATAATTACTATCATCACCTTCTCATAAATTACCTCCAATCGATGGAAAATCGTCTAAGATCACTTGCTTTCTAGTCTGCGTTTCCGCACCAGCTTCCGATCCGACATTTAATGTCGCCCTTACAGCTACGCCCCGATCCGATCAATTTTTCTCCCTCTTTGTGCCATCTCTTTTACAGCATGGTTAATCCTAGGGTTGTGCTAATCAATAATATTACCTTGCTTGATTGATGAAGGGAAAATCCTTCACCGTCCATCATATCTCTTGACATGCATTAGTCCCGCCCTGTTCACAAACCCACGTGTCTCAGAATTGGTGAAAAGTCCACGATTATTGCTTGCGGAGGGGACTTTGAATTAAGAGATTGTTGCTGTGAGAAAACAAAGGTGCTATAAGTTATACTGTGAGTCCCTGATAGGAAAGATACAAGTTGTTTATTAACACTTCTGGACTAGAATATCACAGGGTCGATGACATTTGTTTGCGTAAAAGCAGGTAGCGAAGCAGAAGTTTAAAGATTTTGGTTTGGAACTAAAGCATATTACCAGTTATTGGTTCTTTCTAATCAAACTATATACATTAAAGGAATCTGTATCCACAGAAAAGTAAGTTTATCAATGTTTATTAAATTTCAAAATCTGTATTATTTTGTGAATGATTGAAATCTTTTCGGTTAACACATCATTCCTCTTTTCACATTTGTTCGCGAAAATTAAGAAACAGGTATGAGTATGGAAGTTTTTTTGTCATTTTGCAACAAGTCTCTTCTATTTTGTCCCCGTTTTCTGCAATCTGATATGTCAATTTGATAATTATTTTTAGATAATAATTTCTCTGATATATTGAATAATTTCGCCTAAGCATACAAACCTTTTCAATTCCATATAGATACATCAATCATTTTAATTCACATATTGATTGGAATTTACTGAAGATTGCTAATTGGGGGCCGTTTGAATTCACTTATTCGACCAAATGTAAAATGCATTAAATGTCGGTTGTGCTGGCAAAGAAGATGTGAGTTTTACATTTCCAATTCATTAAAGTTGTACTTGTAGATCGAATTACCGGTAGTCTTCTCTGAATGCATATTATAACATTTACAATTTAGAAAAAAGAGCACCACTTTTTATAGTTGTGACTAAAATGTAGAGGGGGTTTTCAGGAATCTAGAATTCGATTTAATTCCGAACGCGGTTCTGTCATTTACGACTAAGTTTTTTTTTTGTTTTTTGTTTTGTTTTTTTCTTGTAGAAAATTGGGATTCTAGAATATAAAGTTGTTTCCATTCAAAATCTAAGGTGTTTAAATTTATTTCAGTTTGATAGACCCAACTAGAATTGAGAAAGTGTTTATTGACTTTTGGTTACTATTTTGATCTTTTGTTTGTCAATTGTATGTAGAATGATTGTACAATTTAAAACTCCACATACAGATTTGGTAAAAGCGTGTCTTTATTTTAAGCTTAAACATACATTATGCAAGAGCCAAATCTGTCTATTGCAGGTATTTGTTTAAGCCTGAAATGTTTTCTAAATTATTAATTAAACATTAATTAACTTATCCAGGCCATAATCAACTCTCGATGGCATCGGATTTCTCTGATATTAAATAGATTAGAACAGTTCAGCCATATTTTGATTTAAGCTAAAAATGGAGGAGCGAGACTTAGCTTCGAACAACCAGTACGGTGGTTGAAATTATTGCACACGTCTTGTCAAACCTTCAAAGGCTATAATATCTTCGCTCGCAATAGAGTAATTTGAATGAAATTTTAAAATTATTCATTTTACATTATCTATTTTCGAACTATTATAGCAAGAATGGCGCGCACTTTATCTAAATCTTACATAATGTATCTTTAATCGTTTGTGTCTTTGTTCCTTTTTTTAAGTTCGCCTTTTGACTATCAGTAATTGGCGGTCGGTACATTCTGTCAATTACTGATATCTTTGAATACTGGAATTCAAAGTTTTACCATCTTAAATCTTCTAAAATACTAACATCATGGAAAATGTTAAACACATGATCAATAAATAGCGCCGATTTTTTCAGGCTTACTACTTTATAGTAGGTTTTATAGAATGCAGTGTTATCCTGTACCGTAGACAGACCTGTGAGAAAATTCTGTGTTCATATTATTCTTGGAGTCTGCAAAAAACTTAAATATTGAGGACTGGGATTTTTTTGTAAACTAAAAGATAATTTTCATTAAGAACACTACATAGACAAAATGGATAATGATCAACACATTTGATTTTGTACAATATGATTTTTAGTTAATAAAATCTGATCTTATCTAATACTAACAGGATACCCGGCTTCGCCCGAGGCCCGAATTTGTCAGCGGCCCAATCCGCCCGGGGCCCAAATTTGCCTGGGCACCAAATTCGATGGCCTAAAACACGGGGCCATGCTGGTTAATTTGATACCCCATATGTGGGGGTGGGGCGTAGCGGCGAAGCCAAATTCGATGGCCTAAAAGATTCACGGGGCCATGCTGGTTTATTTCATACCACATATTGGGGGGGGGGGGGGTAGAGCGATGTAGCGTAATGGGTGAACATACACACATACATCATTGATTTTATTTATTTATTTTTTTATATAGATAATATATAGATGGTAACACCCTATTTGTGCTCAAACTAACAAAAATGTGTAAAATTAATCACTCCATAATAATTTCGATACACAATGTCGGAAAACTGTTAAATAAAACACTAACAACACAAACAAACCACGCCCATAGAACACAAAACGGACCAAATTGCCAGGTAATTTTACAACATGAAATGAAATTGGATTTAACGTCCTACTTTCTACACCATACGCCATGCAGTGTGCTTTGCGGGAAACTGTGCGGATTCCAACTATCAAGGTTTTTTTTACGTGCAGACCCACCTTTACATGGTCCCTCGTTATTTCGTCCTTTCCGAACGACTGTGCCCTGTTCATTACCTGACCCTCCGTCCTGCACCACTGACAAGGGTTAGGGGGGGGGGGGGGGTCCCAAGGTACTTTCTCGACCTATACCGAAAGCTTCTGAGACCTGTTCTACAACAAAAAAATGTTTTATCACCAAGTAAAAGTTATGCATTTTATTGAGAACTAGGGCCAACATTGCACATGATTAGCGTGAAAATGCATGTGCGATTATCACTGATAGCAACTTTAAAAATGACAAAACACCCATAAAACACCACCTTCTATGGCCCGATAAGGATGGATAATTCATCAACGATTGTCCATAGCACGGTGCAATTTTTATCTTAGCTTTCCCTTAAGTTCACTGCCGCCAGGTACGACATAAAGTATGTAGATGTTGCTATATTGGAGTCGTAGTCAAACTCAACCTTTGATTGACTTCAGACCGGAAGTACTACGTTATATTCTTTTGTACTAGCTGACGTTAATCTGGTATAGGATAAAGGAAAAGGCCAGTATGTGCATTATCTTACAAATAAAAGCTATAGAATCATGGCCAGTTTTAAAAAAATAAATGAAATGAAAATTCGGACCTGAAGGTAACCAAGCACATCACGTGTCCACAAAAGTCTCCTGTATCTATAGACATGCGAAAATTGTGGACGTTTGGACCAGCACCGGTGTTAGGGCTATACGACCACAGTGATTTCACCAAACGTAATGCAGTTGTCAAATCAAATACATTTGAGTTCAAACAAGGTATTTTCATGGAGTCAACATTCTTCTTATGGTTAAATGACGATGCAGATCGTACATGTTAGTAAATACCAAACGATGTGATGTTAAGGTTTGGGTTAAATCTCACTTTCGGAACCCCCATTAAGAATAACATAACAAAATCCAGAAATAATGGTAGCATACGTGTAGTAAGATGCATAATAATTATTCATAATCTAACGCAATTGTTATTGTATACTCACGAGATCATCAACAATCTACAAATATTAGAATAACAGGGTAATCTGACAAATGCCAACATTAGACCATCTATAAAAACAACATACGGTCAAATTGTAATTTAGTAATTGAGGTTTATTAAGCCAGGGGAATTTCAAACTAAGTTCTACAGCTAATACAAGCTCAGTCACTCATTCAATTACTGCCTCTTTTCGCTGGAAATTACTAGACGTCCAGGCTAATTGTCTCGTGTAGGGTAACAGATCGAGACGCCCTCTCCTGCTAGAACGCCCATATTTTGTTGATAATATAGAAGTCATCAAAAATGATAGTATAAAAGTATAGAAAACTCATTTATATTAGAACGCCAAAATAGAACAAGAATTATAATAATATAATTTGATGTATTTCTATGACAAATATAGCGTCTTCATCCCAGTTGGAGCAGAACAGTAGGACGTTAAACCCCATTTCATTTCATAAAAAAAATATATATTATGGTCGGTATTTTTTTTTTTGGGGGGGGGGGTCCAAAAATGACAAGAAAGATCTGTAAATGTCTTAATCTGGGGTTTTGGGGTTGTTTTTATCGACAGATAGGCCATCAATAAGTACTATTTGGAAAAGATATTATTTAAGAATTATACAGAACATGCACACATTTTACTTCCATATTCGAGGTTTAATAAAAGTCTTTAAATATTCACTTCAAATGCCGAGTCACGAGTTCATTGTAAATATCAGTAGACATGGATCGGTTCTAATAAGTTAACACTAAAACGTCTACACAAGAATTCGTGAGAATTTATTGATACTTTTTTTGAGCTAATTGAATCTATTTCTGTTTTAAAGAATTGTGGAAATTTTTGTTCATATATTAATTGGAGTTCAAAATTTATTTATTTTATGTCCCAACGTTCAGCCTACAAGAATGCGATATTGCCAAAGTTTGTAAAACTCCTTTTCTCCTTATTTAATATAAGTACGTGTTCTCATGTTCATATCTCCAGGGCGCAAGTCGTCTTGGGTTTCCAAATTTTATTAATGGTGTCCCCGTAATGACTTGAATAATGCTAGCAGGCTGCTCTAATGGAACTCGCGTGTTCCAACTTCTATATGGCTAACTTAATACCTAATATAATAAGTTAGAGACTAAAAGCCGCTCGTGTCGTCTTCTAAGGTTACTTTATCTAAAATAATAGTATTTAAAATCTTGATAAAGATACCTTTACTGTTTACAACCACTGTAGCATTCGTAGATTCAATATGAAATATGCACTGCTCAATAAAACCTTTTCGAGTCTAACACACCAAAAATATAGCATTAGTCAAAACTCAAGAGTACATCCAATATACTAGCAGTTCACGAAAGATTAATAATACCCTGCCTGGTGAACGACTCTCGTTAAAACTATAAAAGACTAAGGTTTATTGGGTTAACAAATACCCAGGGCCCTCTGAAATTTAGGATTCACAGTAATCGAAGGATATACATGTCTGTAAGAAAAGGGGCAGAAATGACATAATTCTAACTAGAAACTTAAAATACGTATATGGATAGACATGGGAACTTTATTAACCTTAACATAGTAGTTTGTATAATAATGAGTTTAGATCGGTGGATGGCAAAATAACAACTATTTTAAATCTTTAAATACCACGTTTTATTAAAGAATCAATATGAATACTCATCATGGTGCTGATAATATCATGTCACTAT